GTGAGTGGTGAGTGGTGAGGGTGAGTGGTGAGGGTGAGTGGTGAGGCAGAGGTGAGGGTGAATGGTGAGAGTGAGTGGTGAGTGGTGAGGGAGAGTGGTGAGGGTTGAGTGGTGATGGTGATGGGTGAGTGGTGAGGGTGAGTGGTCATGGAGGGGTGAGTGGTGAGGGTGAGTGATGAAGGAGTGGTGAGGTTGAGTGGTGAGTAGTAAGGGTGAGTGGTGATGGTGAGGGTTAGTGGTGAAGGTGAGTGGTCAGTGGTGAGGGATCAGGGTTAGTGGTGAGGGGTGAGGGTGAATGGTGATGGTGAGGGGTGAGGGTGAGTAGTGAGGGTGAGGGGTGAGTGGTGAGGATGATGGTGAGGTTAGTGGTGAGTAGTAAGGTGAGTGGTGATGGTGAGGGTTAGTGGTGAGGGTGAGTGGTGAGTGGTCAGTGGTGAGGGATCAGGGTTAGGGGTGAGGGTGAGTGGTGATGGTGAGTGGTGACGGTGAGTGGTGAGGGAGAGTGGTGATCGAGAGGGGTGAGGTTGAGTGGTGAGGTTAAGTGGTGAGGGTGAGTGGGGAGGGTGAGTGCTGAGGGTGTGGTGAGAGTGAGTGGTGAGGGTGAGTGGTTAGGATTTGTGATGATGGTGAGTGGTGAGGGCAAGTGTTGATGTTGAGGGTGAGTGGTGAGGGTATGTGGTGAATAGTAAGGGTGAGTGGTGAGAGTGAGTGGTGAGGGTAAGGGTGAGTGCTGAGTGGTCAGTGGTGAGGTTGAGTGGTGAGTAGGAAGGGTGAGTGGTGGGTGGTGAGGGTGAGTGGTGAGGTTGAGTGGTGAGTAGGAAGGGTGAGTGGGGAGGGTGACTGGTCAGTGGTGAGGGAGGGGTCAGGGTTAGTGGTGAGGGTGGGTGGTGAGGGTGAGTGGTGAGGTTGAGTGGTGAGGGTTAGTGGAGAGTGGTGAGTGGTGATTGGTCAGTGGTGATTGGTCAGGATGAATGGTGAGTAGTGAGGGTGAGGTTGAGTGGTGAGGGTGAGTGGTGGTTATGACGGTGAGTGGTGAGGGTGAGTGGTGAGTGGTGAGGCAGAATGCTGAGGGTGAATGGTGAGAGTGAGTGGTGAGTGGTGAGGGTGAGTGGTGATGGTGAGGGGTGAGGGTGAGTGGTGAGGGTGAGTGGTGAGGGTGAGTGGTGAGGGTGAGGGGTGAGTGGTGAGGATTAGTGGTGAGGTTGAGTGGTGAGTAGTAAGGGTGAGTGGTGATGGTGAGGGTTAGTGGTGAGGGTGAGTGGTGAGTGGTCAGTGGTGAGGGATCAGGGTTAGTGGTGAGGGTGAGTGGTGATGGTGAGGGGTGAGTGGTGAGTGGTGAGGGTGAGTGGTGACGGTGAGTGGTGAGGGAGAGTGGCGAGGGAGAGGGGTGAGGTTGAGTGGTGAGGTTAAGTGGTGAGGGTGAGTAGGGAGGGTGAGTGCTGAGGGTGTGGTGAGAGTGAGTGGTGAGGGTGAGTGGTGAGGGTGAGTGGTTAGGATTTGTGATGATGGTGAGTGGTGAGGGCAAGTGTTGATGTTGAGGGTGAGTGGTGAGGGTGTGTGGTGAATAGTAAGGGTGAGTGGTGAGAGTGAGTGGTGAGGGTAAGGGTGAGTGGTGAGTGGTCAGTGGTGAGGTTGAGTGGTGAGTAGGAAGGGTGAGTGGTGAGTGGGGAGGGTGAGTGGTCAGGGGTGAGGGTTAGTGGTGAGGTTGAGTAGTGAGTAGGAAGGGTGAGTGGGGAGGGTGAGTGGTCAGTGGTGAGGGAGGGGTCAGGGTTAGTGGTGAAGGTGAGTGGTGAGGGTGAGTGGTGAGGGTTAGTGGTGAGGGGTGATTGGTGGTGGTGAGGGTGAGTGGTGAGGGTGAGTGGTGATGGTGAGTAGTGAGGGTGAGTGGTGAGGGTGAGTGGTGATGGTGAGTGGTGATGGTGATGGGTGAGTGGTGACGAAGAGTGGTGACGTTGAGTGGTGAGTAGTAAGGGTGAGTGGTGAGGGTGAGGGTGATTGGTTAGGGTTTATGGTGAGTGGTGAGGATGAGTGGTGAGGGTGAGTGGTGAGTGGTGAGGGTAAGTGGTGATGGTGAGTAGTGAGGGTGAGTGGTTAGGGGTGAGTGGTGGGGGCAGTGGTGAAGGTGAGTAGTAAGTAGTGAGGATGAATGGTGAGTGGTGAGGGTGATTAGTGAGTAGTGAGGGTGAGTGGTGAGGGTGATTAGTGTGTAGTGAGGGTGAGTGGAGAGGGAGAGAGTGAGTGGTGAGCGTGAGTGGTGAGGGTGAGTGGTGGTGGTGAGGGTGAGTGGTAAGCGTGAGTGGTGAGGCAGAGGGTGAGTGGTGAGGGTGAGTGGTGAGGCTGAATGGTCAGGGTGAATGGTGAGAAGTGAGTGGTGAGTGGTGAGGCTGAATGGTCAGGGTCAATGGTGAGAGTGAGTGGTGAGGGTTAGTGGTGAGGGTGTTTGGTGATTGGTGAGTGGTGACGGTGAGTGGTGAGGGTGAGTGGTGAGGGAGATTGGTGAGGGAGATTGGTGAGTTGTGAGGGTGAATGGTGAGTAGTGAGTGGGAGTGGTGAGTGGTGAGGATGAGTGGTGAGGGTGAGTTGTGAGTGGTGAAAGGTATTGTCAAAGCCCACCGGGCTTTGACAATACCTTAGTATCTGTGTATATATGTAAGGTTATTAAGAAATATATTTTTCATCCGGGCAACGCCGGGTACTTCTGCTAGTACAAAATATAAGAGCAAAAAGTCGGTGGCTTATCCAAGTGGTGAGTGGGTACCACTGAGAACCTGGGTTCAAATCCAGGCAGCTTCCCCTGATTAAACTGGGTTCTCAAGTGTAGTTAGTTGATGGTCTGAGCCCTTGTCACCAATGAATGCACTACAATAACACCACTGTGCATTTGGTTCTGAACTTAAATTAGCTGGAATCCAAATCTGAGTATTAAAATACGATTTACTGTCATGTGACAAATGTTACTCTCTCTACCAGGGCAGTTGGAAAAGTGCTGCCCAATAATGTGCAGATGTGAGATTACTTAAAGTGTTTTCAGAAGTAGTTCTGTGATTGCCGCTTCCATGGGCTGGCCTCTAACACAAACGATTGCACTGCTGTACCAGTGATTTGAATGGATTCTTATTCTCAATTCATAATGCTTACAGCATAATCGGGATACAATTGGGGACTTTCATTGTTCAGCCTATCTATTCACCCACCCACGTGGTGTTCTCCCCAGCTACATGTAAATCAGTGCCGTTACTGTCCAGGGTTAGTTGCTGCCAGCCGGTTCTGCAATCTACTCGTGTCGGAAAAGATCTGTAAATCTTATGAATCATAAATAAAGCACCTTTTTTGTAGTCCAATTGTACTTCATATTGTTTTTATGGGGCTCCTCTGTCTGTGCATAACACGAGCCAGGACCTACGGGGGTTCATGTCGACGCGTACGGCCCGCGGGCCGCTGCTGGAGGGCTGGCGGAATGACACGACGCCTGTCATGTGCTCCTACAAGCTGGTCACCGTCAAGTTCGAAGTGTGGGGGCTCCAGACTCGAGTCGAACAGTTTGTTCACAAGGTGAGCCACAGGGTCACCAACTTCCTGATTTTATCGACACATTACACAGGCGATACGAATAGATTTTTTTTTATTTTTTTACCAACGGAACATATTTGTTACACGTCAGATATCACCGTGATGATGATGTTACTTCCTCATATACATGAGTTTTGCCTGGGTACTCCAGTTTTCTCCCACATTTAAAACAGCAATGGCCAAATATCCCAATGTAAGGCCTACATGAAAAAAAGTGTCTTAGGACTCATTAAGGCATTCCTGGATAGATAATTATTATTACAACTCAAACTAGTCAATCATGAACATCTTATTTTATAAAGCAGAAGGGAAATTGGACAACTGTATACCGGGTTCAACCTTGTTAGGAATCATCAGCACATTATCACCATCGTTGGCCAGAAGTTTGACTAATTGGAGTTGGGGGTCAAGTGGCAAGCAGTGTACGTGATGTAAGGACCGATCTCTTTGTCACCATCGTGGCTTTTGTTGTCTGGAAATCACCTCGTGTGTGGCATTGTTACTCTCCTTGCCAGCCCGCACGCATGCTCTTGTCCAATAGGTTTATCGTGATTTGCAGAGTGTGAGTGTTGGCTTCTTGAGGCAGAGTAGTGCTGTTTTGTGATGAGTAAGAGCATATCACCCTCTGCTGACACTGTCTGGCAGTGTCATTGCACAAAGCACCTGCGAGGCATGACACTGCATTGACAAGCTGTTCTTGTATCATTTGTCTTCTCTTGCCTGACCTTTCTGGGGTTTTACTCTGGCAGGCCATCAGGGATGTGCTCCTGACCGGACACAGGCAGGCCTTCGCGTGGGTGGACGAGTGGTACGGTAAGGACACTATCACAATTCCCCATTGTTTATAAGCAGGGGAGAGGCGATTGAGACTGAAAGTCTGTTTGTCAAGGGAGACCTGTGGTAAACAAGTGTAAGGGATACCGAGAGGCATACACTTTTTGGAAATAAATAAATAAATATGCACTCACCGGTTCTAACGGCTTTGGCGTATAGGATGATGCTGAATCATAATCATTATTAGCATTACATGTGTGTTAGATAGCACAGAATTGACCATGTTTGAGACTATTCAATTACTCGGCATGTGTATAGCGGTCTAAGTTATAGGTTGCTGACTATATTAACTGGGTATTTCCCCCCTAAACTGTTCTGTTATATATATATAAAAGAGTCGTCTCCAGGCAATCCAGCTTCCTCAAAAGCTATGCCCAGAGCTTAAGATCTCACTGAATATTTTACACGTTGCTGGAGGACTGGAAGGTAGCACGTGATTCTTATCCACTGCCATAGCAAGAGGTGTACTTGATGGGGTATGCCAGGAGTCCTGCATTGCTCTGGCTGAAATTACGCCCTGGCTATGCCGCCATTTGCGCAGGAATGACGATGGAGGAGGTGCGGGAGTATGAGCGCAACACGCAGGAGGCGACCAACAAGAAGCTGGGCATCCTGCCACCCGTCATTCTCATCTGCGAGCCGGCCGTGCAGCCCGTCACACGCAGCGCGCCACCTAGCGCCCCCTCTACGCCCATCACCTCCGAGCCGCCCGACTTCCTGGGGCCGCCCAAGGAGCGCCAGCGCAAGACGTCGGCGCCGGAGACGCTCACACTGCCGCAAAGTCACTGCCGTCCGAGCAGCCTACCCTGACCGAGCCTCGACAACTGACTCGGCAAACTGAGGACCACCGCCCACCACCCTCTCGCGGTGCGGCAGCTTTTCTCATCCGAAGAAACTCTCGCGTTGTAAACGGGGCCCAGCGGAAAAGAACACAATGCCAAAAACACAACCTTCCTGCCCACCATGACTCTGCTGCTTCTTGTATCTGAGGCAGATTGGTGCCAAGAGAGGATGTTTTTTCTGCGGTTCACACCCAGCAGCATCACCACCTTCGCTGGAACACTCAAATGAGCCATCACCACTGACTGAATGTGGACCCCCCACTGTCTCCACTGCCTGGGGATATTCACGGATAATACACACACGCACACTGGTGCCAATGGCCTCAAAACTCAATATAGTCACCCACACGTAGTTGCACAAGTTAGATGTTTTAGATTACGTTTGACAGGATGTGAGATATTTTTGTGGTCAAATGTAGAAGTTGCAATGTGCTTTTGTTGCCATAATTTATTCTGGAGTATGCCAAAAGTGGCCAAAAATAGAGGTACTTGCGCTTTTGCTTCAACAGAAAGGATTCAGGAGCTGCATTAGTTCGTAAATGTATGTTTTTGTTATATTTTGCATTGGAAAGTTATATTCATAAATCTTGAGTTTCCATTGCACTGGTTGACTCAAACAACTGATGTTTATTCGATGCAAATTTGGAAAATGAACAATAATAAAATGTACATTGTGAGTAGGATATAAAATGTACACATTTATTAATTATTTTGTCAAATAATGCACAATAATAAAATCAGCTTTATAAAGCGCCTTTCAAATTAGGAATCCCAAATATGAATATTTACATCAAAATAATGTCATGGCAGAAACTCTAATCAGAATGCTACTGGAAAATCAATGTGTAAATCACAGTACACATCACGCAGTAACAGCTGTGTAGGTTACCATGATTGTGCTGAATAGTTATCCGATGTGTTTTCGGGTCGTACTGTGCATTGTTTGGTACGATGTCTAACGTTTTGCACGTGGAGTCAGATTTTGGACATGTATGTTTAACTTCTTTCGCGCACCATACATAGCCAAGCGTGTTAATCGTACATCATCTTGTACAATGCAAAGTACAACCCGAAGACACATCCAAGAGGCAAGTTATTCAACTTAAGCAAATACTTTGATGAAAATAAGTCACATTATTTACCCTCCTTATATAATAATCCAGAATGAGGGGCAGTCAAAAACATTTGAGTGCGATTTGATATAAAAACAAAGTTCCACCATCCCAGTGTTGAGCTTCTAGTCATATCATAGAATAAATAGATGTTAGATGTGACTGTTTTAAACATTACAGCAAAGTGTTCATTGTCGGTTTGTGACTGCCTTTAGAATATTTTTCGTAACAATTCTGTATTTATACTGTAATATGTATCATTGCAGTTTAATTTTCACTTTCGTTTGGTCTTCTGTATCGGCTGTTTAGGTGACATGAAATCCCCCATGGGAGAGGAGGTGTTAGTAGACAGTCACAGCCACACAAACGATTGTCCGGTCAGTGCAAGAGGATCACTATTTCACGGTGGTTATTGTTTTGTTTTTGTGAAGGGCAATGTTTGTCAGCTTTCGGAAGGGACAGAAGAATCATTTTGGACAAATCACGGTATTTGTTTTAGTTCGTATATCTTTTCTTATTCGTGTGTGATGCAAATGCGAATTGTGCTGATTATGGACTCTTGAAATACACAGCACTCAAACAGTAAGCTCAATACTCAAGTCAGTGGCCAGGAATGGAGATGTAATATATATCGATTTAAGGCTTTCGTGACTGCAGGGATTCATCTTCTTGGTTCTTTCGGTAAAGTCACGTAGAAGGGAAATAAAAAATAAAAATAATGATATTATTGTATTATGCTTTCTTTTTATTCTTTTATTATTTCCCTTCAACGTGACTTTACCGAAAGAACCAAGAAGATGTAATATATAGTGCAGTAGAATTCCTACTTGTGAGAAAGTGATGGGGGTAGGGAGGTGTACTGGCCAGATCCCATCTGTAATCTACCCGGCAAGAACAGGCAGCCATTCGCCGATTAGAACACCCCCAACTTCTATAGAGTGGCTGCCCCCTTGGTCGAGTGATACGCGCCATTTTCACGGAATCGGTCAAGCTCTCGAGTCAGTCAAGATACAGTCTGCTGGCAGAAGCCCTAAAAGCTCGATGCTTGATTGTGTTGACTTTTCTGAGAGCGGAGGCTTGAGTTCAGCAGTGCATATGCCCCCAGACTTTCTACCGACATGCCAGTCGCGTCGCGCCAGTTGGCATGGTCCTTGGGAAAAGAAGGAAATAAATAAATAAAACCCTTGCGTGTCGGCGCTCCCAACTGTGTGTAGCCTGGCGCCCAACGGCCTGTGGGCCCCGGTGCAGTTGCATCGTCTGCACACTCGATAGCCATGCCACTGCCCCTCTGACGTTTACAACCACTTGCTGGTGTATGCTAAGCCAACTGTCTGCAAATATTAACCATTGAAACGCACATTCATTTGTTTACATTGTACGCATATAGCAGTACTAATACTGGTAGGAACCATCTGGTTCCACCAGCCCACAGGGGATTATTGTGTCCGTCCGTCCGTCGTGCATCCAAAAATGGGAGGGGTGGGGCTGGGTGGAGAGGGGCTGGGTGGGGAGGGGCTGGGTGGGGAGTGGTTGGGTGGGGCTGGGTGGGGGGTGGGGAGTGGCTGGTCACCCCGTGGTGCCCTTATAAAACTCAACGTTTAACCTACTCACGCCGGCTTGTACCCGCCCTCACAGTCGGCCATATTTGCGGAATACACCACGCCGCCATTGACCCTGGCCATTGACCGAGAAACCCAACGTTCCTACCAGCTCCCTCTGCAGGAATGTGTTTTACTCCACTTGCGTCGGAAGGTCTCCCCTGACCCTGTCGGTCATTGGGGTTGTTTGACCTTACTTCACCATGCTGGTCAGTGCGAATTGGTAAGGGAGCGACCCAGTCACTTATGTTAGCCGAAGGCAGGAATTGTACTGAGGTCGAGGGGCTCGGAGAGCAGTGCGTTAGCTGCACCTCCACTCCATCCCATTGTATATGAATGAGGATTGGTAAAATGTATTGGGCATGCAAGGACTGGAGGAATGGAGGGTTTGTGCAAATGTGTGCAGGGTTATAAATATCCTCACTTCCAGCAGACTGAAGCGTAATTTGATGTTCAAACATAGAGTTTTGTATTGTGGTACACGTTATATTTATTGAACATAATGTATCTTGCATAGTAAAATCTTTTTTGGAAATGTTAATACATAAAAGGTGAATTGCATTACGTTATAAGTCCTAAAACCACATTGTTCAGCTTTTATTTAATAAGGTACAATATTAATTTGTAGCTTTTTATGAATCGAAAAATGCAACATTACAAATTGTGTATTTCTGTCATTTTATGGTTGCATACCATGGTCTTTATATGAAGTGGGTCATTATATTAAATATAGATATGAATTGCGTTTATGGTTACACCCAAATGTGTTGAAAGATTGTGATGCTGGCATGAATTGTAAAGTCGATTCGCCTCTTTGCTGACCACTTTGCCAGCTTCTCCACAATTTATCGCGCCATTGAGAATGCAATCTCTGACGTCAGTCTGACGACAGTCGCTCACAATTTAATTTGAATTGGAACAACCACTGCTGAAGCACGTTGCTGTGTGAGCTTTTGTAGCAGTATTCAACGTCTCCTTCTGATTCCCAAGTAACATTTATGACACTAATTATTGTGCTGTCAGTGTCAAAACATGAAGTAATGCAGGAGAGTAATCTGATCATGCATTCGCCTTGAGAGTCAGAGTCGAATTTTTTTGGAAAACTGAATTTTGGTGAAAAAGGGGTCACACTTTGGTTGGATGACTGTCATCGTCACGCATTTAACTTAGAATAACACATGTTTTACAACAAAAGTAATTTTTACATCTAAACAACATGAACGGTGAACAACACTTCAAAGGAACGGTGTTGTAGTAATTGCTGAAAGTGCTCCGGTAACTTGACATGGCTGCTAATTATAATTTAAACTCAGAGCATTTTCTCGTTCTTGAAGACAGAGAAAGATTCGGAGGCACGAGGAACCACACAAGCGGGAAGGCAGCTACGTGGTGAGCCAGTGCCTGATTCCCTCCCAAGCTCTGCGGTCCTCTGCATATTAAGGCATTATTGCCCAATTAATGAGTGTTGACATATGGGAGGAAACCGGAGCACCCAGAGGAACCCCACATGTGAGGGGGCAACACTCTCTCCCATATCCACCAATCAGGTGAAGTCCACATTTGCTTTACTGCATTTTTCTGGCAAGCCAGGGATATGGCACCTCGACACTCGCAGGAAAGGAGTTTCACAATACGTGTACGTGATCCACCAACCCTCGCTGCCCCCACAGTGCTGAACAGAGGAATGCGTAGCCATCACCGCCTGGCTACCTTGTCGCTTATATAACGAATTTAATCTGTACATTTAACACTTTTTCAGTATTACAAACAACCACCTTCAAGTGATCCACTTAAGTTAGTATTGTAAATCTCACTGGCAATCTTCAATTCATATGTTTGTGTTATCGATGCACGAATGTGTACATATTGATGCAATGTTCTGTATATACAGGTATTCTAATAAAACCCTTTGTATAGCCCCTAATTGTATCACTTTAATACTGTTAATGCAAAATTACCACTTTTTGTAAACGCTGCATCTGTGATGTATGATACAGCCAAACCTCTGATATTGAGTCCACCTTGAATGGGGATCTAAACACCATGGAGGTATCGTTCCTGAAATGGAGGCTCAAGCCAAACCCCCACAAAACAACGGTCGGTCACTGTATTTTATTCCCATAACAGGAACACGAAGTGCATCCTGAACGTGTTCTTTCACTGCAACACTGTTCAATAAGACTGCACTCAGACTGATCTAGGAGTGAAGCTGAACCGCACGCTAACCTTCCACGACCGCCTTAAGGAGGAAGTCGCTAAGATGAAGACAATGGTCAACCAGGTCCAGAAACTTCCAAGCACAAGCTGGAGAACATCAGTATCAGTGCTACAGACATCAACGGTGGCCCTCTTTATGTACTGCATTGCTGAGTGCCATGCAACACCGGTATGGACCAGAAAGAGCCACACTCGACTGGTTGATGTCCAACTGAATGTTGTAATGTGGTGGTGCATCACTGGAATAGTGGAATGTTCAAGTCCCTATCAACAACGCTCCCCATCCATTTGCTGCGATGCCACAACAGTGTTCGTAGTCCAGCGAATCGTGGAAAGCGAAAGTTTCCTTATCCACCAGGAGCTCAGTAATTCTCCTCACCACCGCTTGAAGTCATGCAAGTCCTTTCTGGACTCATTCGCTTAACCTTCAACAATGCAACCCTGATGATGCTTGTGTAATAAAGGACTCTTTCCCAATGTCGATCTCCGTTGTCCTTTATTTGGGTTCGTAGAATCTCGTTCACACGGCGTCCTCGCTCAGGCCCACGTCTCTCCCGACGATCACTCCACAGCCACACTGCTGCTCCGCTCTGCAGCCTCACTGCTGCTCCGCTCTGCAGCTAGCCTCCCACAGCCCGCTAGCTCTCTGCGTACTGACACCGATGTCTGACGGTGTCGACGTTTCCCACCGCGTGGCGACCGCGCCACTCTCCCTGTACTGCCCAGCGTGGCCTCCTCCCGTTTCACTCCGTCTCAACTCCCCGTTCCCCTTCCGGTTCTCTCCCTAAATCCTCTCTCCCACGTGACCCTAACTCCTCCCTCTCTTCACGTGACCCAGACTCCGCCCCCCCTCAATCCTTGCTCGCATTACACTTGGAAAGCCAAATGGAGTTCACAAGAAGTCACAACACCTCGTGACAGATCTGACAGAAGATCCCTGGCTTCACTACACAAACTATAGTGGATACTCTTTGGTTCTTTCGGTAAAGTCACGTAGGTATAAATAAAATAAAACAAATCACGACGTTTCGATCGCAACAAAAGATTTTTTTTTCTTGCAGGAGTTGTTCCACCTGATGAGGATTGCTTGTGTTGCAATCAGAGGTCGCAACCGGGTACCCGATACCCGTACCCTACCCGATACCCGGCTACCCGTACCTGGCCGGGTACGGATAGGGTACGGGTAGGGCCGGGT